TATCCATCTTTTTACGGTTGATACGGTTGATTTGACGAACAGGAGTCAGTCTCTGCGGGAAAAAGTGGCAGTCTCACTTATGACAAGTCTCCGCATACAGTCACTCCACCCAGCTGTTGTTTGCTGAAAAAATCTTCATGCATGTAACTTACTCTACAACCACAAACTTTTGTTTTTGCAATTGTTTATGTGCGAATTTAAAAAATGAAACACAATGTTCATTAGTGAGCTTTAGAGGTGTTGGCAGGCATATTTTCCCACTCTAAACAGAGCCAAGCTAACCATTCCCCCTTGTTTCAAGTCTTAATGCTAAGCTAGGCTAACCCCGTCCTGACTCCGCCTCTAGATTTAAGAAACACATAAGGTTGGACCAGCCAAAAAATTAGAACAAATTATTCGGCAAAATTAGTTGTAAATTAGTTAGCTAAAAATATGTTCTGTAAACTCACAGTGACCTTGACCTTTGACAAAATTCTTACTAGTTTATTCTTGAGTCAATTTAAAGTAAACTTGACTGCACCTAGCTGGTTATAATTATTTATGTGTTGTTTTGTTCTTTCATGGTCGAATGCAAAAGAGAAAGAGGTGGCATGGTGGTATGATACTATCTCATATAAATCACAGGCCCCTGAATAGAATCAAAGCAACAGTCATATCAAGACAGACTTCGTGATATCAGCAAATATTGTATTGTTGTCCAAAGAATCAATTTAACATCGTAATGTGGTGAAACTAGTGATTTACAGCCATACTTATTATCCATCAACTAAACAGGTAACAGATTAAAATGCAATCTAACGTATCTGTCTCTTAAGATGCTGCACAAAAACAAAGGCAAACGCAGACGACTGAATGAGCTGTCAAATGCGCATGTGTAAGACAACAGAGAGCCATGGACAGAGTGAGTTTGTATGGTTACCCAGGCTATCCAGCTGAGCCTCGTCTTCCTCCCGCTCCTTCTCTCAGGATGACTGGGAGACAGCAGTCCCAGCTGGAGACACATGCCGTCCATCACACCCATACAAATCAAACGCTGTCTTCTCTGTCAAGAGTCAACAACCAGCAAAGCAGACAAATCTCCCTCCGCTGCTTTCCTGTCTGTCCATCTTCTCTACGTGTTTTCTCCTCCTCGTTTCTCCTTTGTTGTGTCGACCTCCCGCAGTTTGACCTGGTGCTTTCCACCGCTCGTCTCCAAAAACCTCAATGACTTACCTGGAATGCCTCTCATCTATCTCTACTCTTCCCTCTCTCCCTGTCTCCCTTCCTATGGCGGTTATTTTTATTCGTTTGTCCTCAGGAAGCAAATACAGATCAAGTTCTGGGCCCATCAGCATTTCCAGGGGCCCAGAGCAGCAGAATGGGAAGGCAAACAGTGAAACCCAATCACCTAGCTGGACACCCTCTGGATAACACGCTCTGACTGATAAAGGCTTTAGAAGGGCAATATTGATATGCTGATAGGTAATATGTGATGCTACTGCTCTAGAGATTCTCATCTGAAGATATTCCAGTGGCAGTTTTTCATGTGACGCTATCCAGGAACGCTGCTTATCCAGTAACCAGCTATTATCTGACTCCTAGAGAGTCACAGATATAGAGGCAGTAGGTCTGGATATCTGAAGTGGTGAAAGAGATGCTTCAAGTAGTGAAAGGTCGACTGGATCTACAGTGGCAAAGCCGTCCACATGTCACCAGGCTTAAATGGACAAAACAGACTTCTTGCTTTTCTAATAGCAGCAAGATAAATGGACTGAACTTGTATAGCGCTTTTCTGGTCTTCCCGACCACTCAGAGTGCTTTAACACTACATATCACATTCACCCACTGGTGGCCGAGGCTACCATACAAGGTTAATGCAACTCTGTGACCATTCTCTCACACTCACACACTGATGGAACAGCCATCCGGAGCATTTCGGGATTCAGGATTTTGCCCAAGGATACCTTGACATGTGGACTGGAGGAGCCAGAGATTGGACCATCTATATTCCGATTAGTGGTGGACCTGCTCTACCTCTGAGCCTCAGCCGCCGCTGAGTTGCTAAGTATGGTTCATTTATGGATGTGTGTCAATGAACAGAACATAATGTGAGCTGCTGTATGTTTTGCAGTTCATCAAATGTAGTCACTTCGTGTGCTGTTTTCTAACCACATTGATCGACATGTTCTTAGTAGTGATGGCCAAATAAAGCCTCATGAAGCATTTTCTTTATTTTCTGAGCCCACTAGATGGCACTCATGGTTTAAGGAGAGAGGCTCAAAGAATGGCAATTCAGTGTGCTTTCAACCTTTTGTTGAACAAAAAGCGCCATCTAGTGGGCTCATAAAATAAAGTAAATGCTTCATGGGGCTTCATTTGGCCATCACTAGTTCTTAGTACTTAAAACACATTATGAGCTATTGGAGCAGCTCAAAGTGTTGATAACAAGTGGCAACCTCCGGGGCTGAAAAATAAAGCCAAGGTAGAAATGCCACAAACAAAAGCTGTTTCTCAAATGGCCAAGTGAGAATTTGTGTGATGTTTTTCATGCAATAAGTCAGTACAGACTAAATAACAGGTTCAAGTTTAGCCCTGTTACTTGTTTTTTTTATCCTTCTCAAATTTAAAGTTTTAAATGCCTCTGAAACTCTAATTGCTATTTTCAAAATACAGTACAACTAGTCAATACCCATTGGTAGCTTTGTCAACTTCTACCTATGCCAGTCCTCAATGCCTATGTGCAGTTTCACATAGATTGACCACGTCAGTGAGTAGAAAAACGTGGGACAGACAGAATGACTGACTGACAGAATGACACACTGACAGTTTCCGTGATTATGTACAGCATACCATACCATGACTTAGTCATACCAAAAATTAGAAACACCAACATTGGTCCACAGGGGGAGCCACAGCGATCGGTAGCATTTTAGCCATTTTGAAGCATTTTTCTGTTGTTATAACGCCACCCAGTTGCCAATTAGAGTAAAATTTCTCCAGTCACCTTGAGGCGTCCTGTTCTACATATCTACCAAGTTTAGTAAAAATCCATATGGCGGTTAGGCCTAGATAAGAAATGAGCTCTCTAGCGCCCCCATTTTGTTTGATGGGATCAATAATGGAGGGGTCCCCTCAGATTATGTGTGGTCATATGCCTACAAAGTTGCGTGGTGATGGGTGAAACCCTTGAGATGTCATACACCTTTATGTGATGAGCCACGCCCTCCGCAATATTCATTGCCTTATAGAAGCTCAGTTTTAGTAAGTTTTCCAACTTTTGCCAAGAGGGAACTTTAGATATTGGTCCCTAGATTATGTTCACCCAGTTTCATGCAGATCGCTCAAACTTCCTAGGAAGAGATCCATTTGAAGTGTTTTTCAAAAAAATTCAAAATGGTGGAAAATCTATATAAGCGGAAGTTATGGGTTCTTGAGGCAAATGTGTTCCTCATGAGGAGAGGCATCTCTGTGCAAAGTTTCATGTCTCTACGACATACGGGGCATGAGATATGCCCATTCAAAGTTTGACATTTCAATCGGTTGCTATAGCGTCCCCCTTTGGCCAATTGATGTAATATTGCATTGGCATCCTCCCATGACCCTCTACCACTGTGCCAAATTTCACATGGATTGACCAAGTCAGTGAGGAGAAAAACATGGAACAGACACACACACAGAGTTTCCGTCATTATATAGTAAGATAAGGTGATTTGTATAGACCGCACACAGACATACTCAGAGAGCCATTTCTCTCTTCACACTGAAAAACCTCTCTTGGATTAAAGTGGAAATAGCCGAGTTGTTTGGCTTTAACTTATCACTATGAAGTAACTGCTGATTGCACAGTGTAATGGCTTTAGAATAATGGCACCATCGTTGTTTAGACCGGTTCCATATAAACCGTGCTTTCACCATGCAATTCTGTCTGCCACTCCATTTATGACACAAATAAAGTGCATCAACCATTGCACAAACACAACAGGAAGAAGACAGCATTTTTGTTTTCCTTGACTCGGCTACTGCTCCTATCAACTCTGCAAAATAAAACTAATCTTTCACCTCTCTGAGCTGGGGATCAGAGTCCAGAGATAATGAAAAGTTTGCTGCTGGGCAAAATCGTTAAAGTTCTCTGGACGTTTTTTTTTATGCAAGATTAGGATTTTTTTTGACCTGAGAGTTTGTAATGACTGCCATTGATATCACAGATGCTTCTCTGGATCTGGGGTATGAGAGTGTGTGTGTGTGTGTGTGTGTGTGTGTGTGTGTGTGTGTGTGTGTGTGTAGGAAGTATATCAGTATTGTCACTGAAGGAAAGTCATACACACATACACTCACACACATCTGAACATGTTAGTACAGGTAGAGGAAGTCACACTAGCATCAGCAGCTCAGCTGTCACAATATCATTAGCTATATGCACAGCTCCACGCTGACCAGTATCATCCAATTATTCGTTCATACACGTGTATTAAATCTGTCAGCTCGCTATTACTCCAGTGATTCTTTAATGCACTGATACACTGACTGCTGCTGCACCTCCCTCCAGCAGCCCAGCCTCCTCCTCATGTCACTGAAGCTGTAGTATTGTTTTCTCGCTAAGCTCTTCGTTCATGTACATTTCTGTATATCTGATCCAAAGTGTTACAGGGATTATCTCAGCAGAATCCTTCTCGCCGCTTAAATTCTTTGAAAGCTCGATCAAAGCGCAGAGCCTCTTCCTGCAAAATGAACGGTCAATTCTTTGACGCGTCTCTGACTCCAATACACTCAGTGGCTTCTCACGCAGGGTTGTACTTTAATCAGAGGTGTAGCTGCAGCGTAGCTACTTCAGGAGTAGCTCAGAGCCTCGGAAGCTACAATCACAACGCCGCGTTCTCCCCACTAAGGCTGACTGACATGACTGACTGGCGTGAACAGAAAGAAAGAAGCTGGGCTGCCATTCAACAGTGACCAATGAAGCTTCGCAAATCTCAGGAAGCTGCACATGTCCAAATAAAGCTTAAAGGTGTGGAGAGACTCACAGGTGCAGGGCCTTTCTTTATAGTTATGCTGGGTGTGGTTGCCCTCAGCGCTCCGGTGACACCGTGGTAGTACCTGAAGCAGACCTGCGTCTCAGCTGAGGACACACAAACGGGAGGGAAGGGGAGGTGGCAAAGACGGAGAGAAGATTAAACAAGAATTAGTTTCCTTTCACCAATACTGAAATAATATCATATAAAGATAGAGATAAAGGATAAAAAAATGAGCCTATTTGTGATCTATTCAAATGATCTCAGATCGGTGATATTTATCATTTCTGAGACTCCATAGCCTTCCAGATAATAGGGGAAGTGGAGCAAAAAAATCAAAAGGCTTGGAGGACACAAGGAGATTAAGGTCATGGTAAAGCTCCGTGTTTTTCTGCTTGTTTGGCCAGACACACTCAGATGGTTTGACAAGAAGAGGGGGAGCACACAGCAACACTGCGTGCAAGTGACTGAATGTATGCCTGCAGTCCGACTTGAGTCATCAGTGTCTGACAGACAGGGAGGCAAAAATATACTCACTCCTATTTGCACAACTTTGAATTGTAACTGGAAGTAGTTAAAGTTTAAAGGTATACTGAAGGATTCTCTCTCAATCATCACCTATGACTAGTGATGGCCAAATGAAGCCTCATGAAGCATTTTCTTTATTTTCTGAGCCCACTAGATGGCACTCATGGTTTAAAGAGAGAGGCTCAAAGAATGGCAATTCAGTGTGCTTTCAACCTTTTGTTGAACAAAAAGTGCCATCTAGTGGGCTCAGAAAATAAAGAAAATGCTTCATGAGGCTTCATTTGGCCATCACTACCTATGACCCAGTAGAAGTGCGTGTCAGTGTATTCATCTGCAGAGACTCTGCCCTCTGCCTGTATTTGCTCATTTTCTTCTAATTTTGTGATGTTGGGGACTTTCCTGGGCTCCACACACAGCTTACGTCGAGACTTTATAAGAAGTTAGCTACGTACAGTAAATCACAGAAACAGTGCTGATAAAATTCAAATATAGCGAGGCAAAACACCAAGCAGACACAGCTTGTTCTGACCAAATGTCTCCCCTTCTGTTCCTGAGATATGACGCTGAGTAATGGCCACAAAAGTGTTTTATGCAGAACATTATGATGTTACAGTCAAGCTGACCTTTGACCTTTTAGATATAATATGTCATCACTTTATCATATTATCCTGTTAGACATTTTTGTGAAGTTTGTCAAAATTAACGTATGGATTCTTGAGTTATGGGCAAAAACCTCACACTGACCTTTGACCTTCGACCACAAAATTCTAATCAGTTCATCCTTTAGTCCAAGTGGATGTTTGTGCCAAATTTGAAGAAATTACCTCGAGGCGTTTTTGAGACATCATGTTCACAAGGATGGAACAGACACATAACCCCAAAAACATAAAGCCTCAGGCCACAGCTAGTGATGGCCAAATGAAGCCTCATGAAGCATTTTCTTTATTTTCTGAGCCCACTAGATGGCGCTCATGGTTTAAAGAGAGAGGCTCAAAGAATGGCAATTCAGTGTGCTTTCAACCTTTTGCTGAACAAAAAGCGCCATCTAGTGGGCTCAGAATATAAAGAAAATGCTTCATGAGGCTTCATTTGGCCATCACTAGCCATAGCTATCGCTGGCGCTGAGGCATCAAAACACTTGTTCCTCATACTGTCTGTGCTGGAACACTAGTGTTCAACCTCTGCAGGAAACACTTTGTTTTAGTATTTAAGCTCCCCTCACAAAAAAGCGCAGTCTGCTCTGATTGATCAGAGTTCCCGGGTCTTCCATATCTCAGAGTCTCTGCACTCTCATTGCAGCACTTCCCAGCATGAAAAATCACAAATAAAACACAACCAGACATGCTCCACTAAGCATATGATTTAAAACTTGGGGAGAGATTAACAGCATCATCAACCGGATTTACATGTTTCCCTCATGTTAGCATGTAGCTTCATTTAGCAGTGTGGGCTACATACTGTTAACAGTTGCAGTAGCCTGAGGTTTTACTTCTGCATACGTTTACCTCATTATTTAAACTTTGGCTATGTTTATTATGAACATCCTTTATTGTAACACTATATATAAGACATAAAATATGGAAAAGTACAAAAGGTCGCCTTTAACATTGGGAATGGTTGCATATTTTTGGCACCTACGTAAAGGAAGCAAAGGAAAAAGGGGCTGTGTTTAATATAAGATATGACATGGATATTACTATATGTTAGATACTACAGTGTGACTCAACAGGATGAAACTGATATTCATAATCTGTGCGGGAAGAGTGAGATCAAATTAGTGAGATCATTCTGAGTCAAAGGTAGGGAGGTATGGTTCAGCAATCCCTTTGACTCCTGTTTATTTTTTAATTTAATTTTATTTATTTATGTATTTAAAAAGCATGAAAACCAGTTAGAGACACAAACTTTTTATCATACAATTCTGTCTAGTTGTTAACAGTTAAAGCAGTTGCATAACTTGTATGGGTTTAAATATCATGTCGTTATAAATGCTTTTTTCAGGAGCTTTTCCATGCTTACAGGAATACTTGTTTGAGAGAAGAATTTACACTTGCAACAGTTTCAGCCCCATAAAGCCACCTCCACCTGCGATATCGAGGCTGGCGCTGCTAAATGGAAACACCTGGACGGCTTTATGCTGATAAATGCATACTGTTTCCTGTGTGCATCCGCTAAGTCTCTCTCACTCATACACACAATTCCCCATGTCCCTAAACGCAGCGATGGTGCACCATTTGTCACCGTCTCCCCGCCCCCACCCTCTCCCTCTCTATAATGATGTGCCTCTGTAAGCAGCCCTGTTAGTTTTCCACAGGCTGAGACTTCACATGCTGTTGCGGCACTGTCTGCACTTATAGGATCAATCCACTGTGTTATTTGAGACAGAAAATAAAAAACACCACTATGGAGACAACCTGGCACTAAACTAGAGACAAGCAGTGACTGTATTCTGATGACCACTTATATTTGACCACATACTGTCTGCAGCTTTGGGTGCTTTCACACCTGTTTGGTGCAGTTTTAACTAACAACCAGACCGAGACCGCTTTTGTCCCATGTGATAGTAGTTATGTGACGTTTGTAAGTAAATTCAAAAGCTTAAAGGAGACCTCTTATGCTGCTCTTTATTTCCTGTCATATATATAATGCTCCAACGTCAGACGTTTGTATTATACGTAACCAAAGTTTCAAATAATGAGGTTAACATATATAAACATAAACTGCTACATGAAGCTAGATGCTAACATCAGGGAAACGTGTATTTTGGTTGATGTTAATTTCTCCCTGATTTCAGATCATACTCCTGCTGAAACATGCCCGGTTGTGTTTAGAAGTTTTAACTGGTGATTGTTAACAGGATAAAGTGCTGTTATACATAATCGGTTGCAAATACACTGCTGCATGTAGCTACATGCTAACAGTGGTGATTTTTCTAATGGTAAAAAAAGTCCTGCTTTTTGCAGTTACGGTTCAGAAACATCGACATGCAAAGAACCAAAAACAGAGCAAACTGGGCTTATATGGGAGGGAGGCTTAAAGATACAGGCGCTAAAACAGAGCGTCTCAGACAGAGGGTGAATACAGGTGTTAAGTAGTGATGGCCAAATGAAGCCTCATGAAGCATTTTCTTTATTTCTGAGACCACTAGATGGCGCTTATGGTTTAAAGAGAGAGGCTCAAAGAATGGCAATTCAGTGTTCTTTTAACCTTTTGTTGAACAAAAAGCGCCATCTAGTGGGCTGATAAAATAAAGAAAATGCTTCATTAGGCCATCACTAGTGTTAAGCACAGAGAGTACGAGGAAAATAAAGTTGTTGTTTTTTTTTAAAAGCATATAAACATGCTCTAATAGAAACCCGAAACACAATTTTGACCCTGAAAATAAACATGCCCCCTTTAAACCAACATTAATTGCTATCTTTGGCCACTCAAAAGCAGGGCAACAAGTTCGAAACACAACATTGACAGATTATCATCTTAAGAAACTGTTACGGCTCACAAACATCATGAATAATCAAACAAATATGTGACAGTCTGTATGTGACTGGTACAAACCTGACTAAAAAACTGTAACACAGAATTCCAAGCAGAAACAGGTAAAACAATCATAAAACAGCTACTACAACCTGGATGAAGAGGTACAATTCATCTAATGGTACAATTTAGGTTATTTATTGAGCTGATTTTATTGAGAATCTAATTTCCCTGGGGAAATATTTCTTTTTTGTGCTAAAAACACAACAACAAAAAAACCCACGTAAGAGTAATTGCTACTTACAGTCACTGAAGTTTGCGCTGGAGTCAATTTTCCAAACGATCTGTCCTTTGTGAGATCCATTGATGCCTCGGTTCTTGTAGTCCAGAAAGTTCTCAGACAAAGCCTCATCTGGAAAGAGATCAAAATGTTGAAGCCAGACTGTAACTCTGACTCTCCAGAATTGACCCTTCGCTAAGCCCCGCCCCCTTTGTGATGGTCCAACAAGCTGTTTAAGTAACAGCTAACTGCAATCCCCGAAGAAATGTCATCATATTTCTGGAAAAAATTAAACAGTGATTCCAGAGAGAAGCAGACAGACTACAGTCTGAGTTTGAAGGATATATCCAGGATGTCAAACTGACTGACCATCTGAACACTAGTGATGGCCAAATGAAGCTTCATGAAGCATTTTCTTTATTTTCTGAGTCCACTAGATGGCGCTTTTTGTTCAACAAAAGGTTGAAAGCACACTGAACTGCCATTCTTTGAGCCTCTCTCTTTAAACCAAGAGTGCCATCTAGTGGGCAAAAAGAAAATAAAGAAAATGCTTAACAAGGCTTCATGTGGCCATCACTACTGAACACTGACACAAGGTAAGTTTTTTATCAGCGACTGTACATGGTAACTTTTGAGGCTGATGTCATGAATTATACTGAAATGATTATTATTAATGTTGTAACAATCAAACTCTTAACATTCAATGTCATCATGTCCTATCTCACTTACCAATAAGGTACATGCCAATCCAGTCTCCAGCATCCACCTCCTCCTTGATGTCCCATGTGATCACTAGGTCTTCAGACTGACCTATAGTGTAGTGGGAGGAGCTGATGGTGAGGGTGGAGCGAGCGTCCGGGGAGACCAGATCGGTGTCGCTGGTGGAGCGCGACAGCCCCAGCATGAAGGCCTCCTGGTTCAGACCATTGACGGTGTAGGTGTCCGGGCCGTAGCTGTGACGAACCGCATCCTTGCAGCGCTGGCGGGTCTGGCTGCTGCGGGTCGGGGAGGCCATGGCCGCCAGCCCCAGGAACCGATTCTGGTACAAGTTCTGCAAGGAAATACACAGCGAGAAGCTTTAAGCCAAATAACTAGGTAAAAGGTTCCTATAGTCTCAAAAAGCAGAACAGGAGCCAGAGCCTTCCGCTGTCAGGCTCCTCTTCTGTGGAACCATCTTCCTGTTTTGGTCCAGGAGGCAGACACCATCTCCACTTTAGGTTATGGTCACAAAACACAGGACTTTTTCCAGGAGTTTTAACCCAGGAGCCTGATGTTTGGAACCAAGAGAACTTTTAGCAAACTTTGAGTAATCTTAAGTAACGTCCTCAACATGTTTCTTTTCTTAAACCCAACTACAGTAACTTTATGTTAAGTATGTCACTTCACGTTAAGTACGTCATTAATGCGGCAGGTGCTCCGTCCCCACCGATGATAGTAATAGGACTATCACTAATAACTGTTACTGTACCACGTGTAGACAAATACTGTATATGTATATATGTGCCTACACATAACATATGAAGCTCAGTACATGTATGCCAACCTCATATGGGTAAATTCTGCCTCACCTTCTCCACTGCCAGAGCTTCCATGTTCTTGGCCCTATTTGACTGGGCAACAGAGAGTTTCAAAGATATGATGTCATACAGTAGGGTAACCTGTTGAGTTAAACGCAACTAAAGTTTACCGTTTACTGTTGAAATCGTTGTTGTATAAACAGGACCTAAGATCCTTTGATGATCTTAAGACTCCATCATCTATAACACAGGAGAGAGTGTGGATGCCAGCATTAGACCATGTGGGAAAAATAACCAGTTTCCCATTCATCTGTATAGAGTGAGCAGTAATAGGGACAAATTTTGTTTGGCAGTATCCGAGGGGTGAACCATAAAATATTAGTGCTTCCAGTTTATAAGGGGAAACCACACTGCACTCAGTCTGGAGCTGAGGCGTGTTTGCATCTTGAGAAAACTGACTTTTGAGGGGGCGGAGCAAAAATGACAGATGGTAAAATTTAAATCTAGGACCAGCAAATCACAGTTAAGTTTGACTGTGACTGTGATTTCTCTTTATTCTATACCTTTGTTGGACCTAGAACATCTGCCTCTTGTCTCTGACATTTACTGCTGATGTTTCAGATATTTGAAAGACTTTCTCCTGTTGCTGCCCTGGAAATATGATGTTCTCCTTTGATGTTCATAGTCTGTGCTGCCACTGTGTTCTTTGGTTTTTGATGGAAACCTGTGATATCAGAGTGCAGTATCATTTACAGTCCTTCACAATGACAGTGGCTGCTGATATTTGATGCTTTGAGGGTAATTTTGAGCTTTGAAAAGCGTAACAACAACACTAAATAAAGATGTTGCAACCAGGGTTGGGAATTAGCACCAGCCACCAGCCAAACGCTGTTAAAATATGCATGTGGCTGCTAGATTACACTCACCTGCAAAAACACGATGGTTATCTATTGAGTGGCAGGAGGACAAAAGAGTAAACTTCCAATCCTGGTTGCAAAGAACGACAAAGTACCATCACTGTGGTCTCTCTGTCACGACCGACTTGTATATTTGATAGTTGATCCAGTATTGAAAACATTTTTTGAGTTTGCATCACGTTAACATGCTGAAACATGTTCACACACAGTGGCAGAGTAATCATTCGGACTATCACACTGAATGCACAAAAAAGTGAAACATGCGTGTCTGCATGCATCAACACATCTTTTGGACCAATGCACACAAATTAAACAGGCAGAAGTCCGTCACTGAAGCCGTTTAGAGAAGCGGTGGTAATGACACTGACACTGACATGACCCAGCAAGCAATAGTGGTGATTTAAACGTACTGGCTATATTTAGCTCCGATTTAGCCTAGCTACATGTAACCCAAATCTAGCCGATTTAATTTTGAAATTGATTAAATGTAATTTTCGCCATTGCAGATGGCGTGCGGTATGATATTCAATCACGTATGGAGAGTCAACAGTAATTAAAATATGTTCATCTCCATTTTTTGGACATGGTCTCTACATGGCTGTATAATTGATGACGTCTACACTTTGGCTATGGTTAGACGTCTACCAATTTAACTGACAGCCCAAATTCAGCCATGATTTAGCCTAGACGTCAGGTCTTCATGTAGATGGCTATTAGACATTTTTTAAACCAAAAAATGCTTGCTGGGGATTGTTCATATAAAGGGAGGCCACGAGGATTTCAACAAATGTTAGCATAGCTTTAGTACAGCACTATTTTTTTAACCCTTTTTTAACCCCAAAGTTTTAAATGTTAAAATGTTTAAATTTTTTTTATATACATATATGAGCCCATGCTTGTTTGTAGAGTAGCTAAAGTGGAATGGATGGTAGGTGTGTAGCAGGGGATGGGACAATTGGTTCATTGAGGTAAAGTTGCTTTGTTCATCTGAATGTTTCACTGTCGTTCGGGCCATCTCTAACACTGACACATGTAATCATTGTACGTCTGCTAAAACCATCCACTAGCTCTCTTAGAATCTTAACTGATTTTCAAAAATGTGTCTCTTTAAGGCATTTCAACGGCCCGTCTCAAAGGTTGATTCTTGACAATACACTTTAAGCCTGAGCGCACTGTGAGATCTGTAAGTGGGGCAGTCTGTCATGGGTGGTTGGTGACTACATTTGTGTCCACACTTAGTTCACTTCAGAAATACTGACATCGGCATATACCACATAAATTAGCCGAATACACATGCTCAATGCTCTAATCGTAAAGATTGTTAGTATATTAATCACAGTTTTTGTTACCAGCGGAATTTGTCTTTCCCACACCAGACTGAAACTGTCTACTCCATAAACATAAACTGCAAACTGAGTGCAGGGGTGGAACATTTACATTAACACTTTATAAAACAACTAAAAAACAAGGCGTTTCTGTTGTTTTAATTCACTTAGTGTTGGTGAACAACTGTTCAGCCTGACAACACCACAAACTACAGCCTCAGAAATCACTCTGATGTTGAATAAAATCTTGTCCACTGACGTTTTTTTAATTGGTTTTCATTAGATGTTACAAAGTATTCACAGTACAATCTTATATCGTGTTCACACCGGGCACGAATACAACAATTCGCACAAGTGAATTACATGTAAAGTCAACGTAAAGATGCAATTAGCCACGAATTCCCACTGGGCAGCACCATGGAGACAACGCAAAATACACGAATTGGGTGGCATGAATTATGCGAGTACCAAAATTTCCCGTCATGTGCTTATTCGCGAGAGTTGGAAAAATCCTAACTTCAGTGACCAGTTTGCTCCGTGATAGTCAATCAGCACAGAGATCCTCTGGCGACATCTGACACCAAGGACGTACCGGAGGAAGTTCATTCATCAATTCAGCAATATTACGCGTGTATGGCGCGAATTATTCGTTTGTATGAAATGAGTCAACACAAAATATTCAGGCATTCAAACGCAAACATGTGTGAACACTTTAGACTTGGGCTTCAGATTATTTATCATCACGAGCGGCTTTTTGGTTTAGATGACACTCATATTCATAAAAAATACATTATCCGGACTGGATACTGGTTTCATCAGAGTATTCAGCTCAACCCTATTGGTGAACCTGTTCAATAAATACCGCAGCGACCAGGATTCAGTTAATCAAAGTAAGAACCAGTGAATGTGAAACTTTCAGCACCTGTGAACATGTTTAACAGAGTGGCATGACCCACTCAGAATTTAGTGTCTGCTCAGCATGGATGCTGTGATCACTGCAAGATACAGCATCATTACCAGCACATCCAAATGTGAGGGAGAGTTTTCCATCCTGGGATCTCAGATCAGATAAGAGGATGCTCGAGTTGGGAAGGAGCTTCAGGGCACGACTCAGCCAGCCTTGACGCATTGGTCTAAATGCTGAGGCACTTTGTTCGCGTAGCGGGTGATGAAGAAAGGTTATCTGCACGCACTGTACAAATTTCATGTGCTGGCTTGTGACACCATGTTACATGAATATTAGTGAAAAGCCAGAATTGTTACTGATTAGCTGAGGGTTATATCTGTATCTTGTGTTTTTAAATTGATTTTCACATTTATATTTAGCCTGGAAACGATCACATTTAAAGACAGTGAATGTCAGAACAAAATGTATTAAAGTACACTGAACATGAATATATAGGTGCAGGCACCAGCCTTTAAAATCCCATAATCCTAAAGACACACTGGGTGGTGGTAAGCAGGCAAATGGAGAAGGTGGTGGGTGATGGTGGTGGCAGGTGGGGGGGGCACTGACCTTGATACTACAGAGCTGCATCAGCATAATGACCAGTCAACCCAAAGCAGACCAAAACCTGAGGGAAGTGGGAGGAGAAGGGCGGCGTGTTACAAACCACAGAAACAAAAAGCAGAGGCAGTGAATGTAGCAGGTGGGAGTCAAAGTATGGTGTTCGTGTGCAGGGGGGGAAAACAGCATAATCAGACTTTCATACTTCATCTTTGTCAGATAAAAATATGAATAATTGAAAAGATGCAGAAGCACAGATGGACAAACAGGAGCAAACAGAGAGACAAAGACACTGTGACCTCCACACAGAGACATGGAGAACAGAGATATACAGGAATGAACAGACACAACATCAGAGCGTCTCATGATGTTTAACTGAAACATATCACATGGTTCACATTGCTGCAGCGGAGAGGCAAGCCTGCAAAGGAAGGAAGTATTAGCAGGATTATGGTCTTTTAAATGTGATCTGATCACGACATGGCTCACCTCTGGTAGGATGGCTATCATGCAATATGTCTGTTTATGGGCTGTAATTCACTGACTGCACTGACATACACAAAATATTCCAGTTTTTGCCCTTAATCCAAAAAAAGTCAATATTCGTATTCGCCATTTACATGGCTAATGAAAACGAATATTTCGGTAATAACCACCTAACCACCTCCACCCCACTGACTGTTCCTATACCGCCTGTGCTACATCCCATCATTTCTTTTGTTCACTTTGTTGTCTTCTGCTTGTTCCCCCGTCTGTCACTACCCCTTTTGTGTTACTATGTAAGCGTCTTTGGGTCATTGAAAAGCGCTATACAAATTAAATGTATTATTATTATTATTATTATTACTCCTGTTTACATGTCGACGCCATTCTTGGCTGTGTTGACAGGTTGATGCCTTAACATGTTGTTTATCATGTCCAAATATCGAAAAGCTTGTGTCACTTCAGTTCTGTGTCAAAAAAGGAATAGGAAAGTTTTCCAGCAGTGGTGAGCTTCTTGAAGTGTGTGAACACAACCTCCCTCTTTTATGCCTTCAACCACCTTCTTGAAAAGATGGCCATTGCGATATTTACGCAAACTCAAAAACCTGTCTTTTGATAATATTTAAAAATAGCTGCATTTCTCCTTCTGACCAGAAGTGTGAGGTTTTGTTTTGGGAATTCATTGCAAACACACAGGGTGGAAACTGTAGGCTAGTTGGTTTGTGTAGAACGGTAAACTGGTAAGAGGCCATGTGTCGCAAACTGTGGTAAAAAATCAAGTTGAGACACATTCAAAATGTGCTATATACATGTCCAAAGAACCCAGCCCACATTTGTATGCGGGGCCCATGTGGGTAATAAATAGAATGAAAAACTGGCCTTATATGGGATTGTTCACAGGTTCCATTGGCCCCATGCTAATTGCCCACATAGGTGGGTATTACTAGTGATGGCCAAATGAAGCCTCATGAGGTATTTTCTCTTTTTTTCTGAGCCCACTAGATGGCGCTCATGGTTTAAAGAGTGAGGCTCAAAGAATGGCAATTCAGTGTGCTTTCAACCTTTTGTTGAACTAAAAGCGCCATCTAGAGGGCTCATAGAATAAAGAAAATGCTTCATGAGGCTTCATTTGGCCATCACTGTGTATTACCAAAGCGGGCCCAGATGAATCATGCATCAAGATGTATTTCACATGTCATGTTTATGGGGCATTTGAGGCCCATACCCACTCTGATGATTGTCAAAAAGACCGAAAGCTCGACAACAAAGTGAAACTCTGCATGGATGTACGACGTGTACGGAAATCTTTTTCTAACAGTTTGGAATTATTGGTGTTTCTAGCACCTTGCCAAGACCGAGCAGGGTGGAGCGTTGGTTGTTCTGCATCACCTACTTACTTACTAAAATGTACATATACAATAGAATGAATATATATTTTTGAAATAAACTTAAACTGCTACATTAAGCTGCCCCTGTTCATTGAGCTAGTCAGGATTTCCCCACAAATTAAGTTATCATCCGCCGCCACAAATACATTTTCTATTTTTGGAGCTGCACTGTTTATTAGGAGCACTAATGGAATATATATTTGGTTATTTATACCACAACAATGTCGAAGTGCAGAGTGTACTCAGGGCCATTCTCGGAACCCATCGGCTGTATTCGGCATCTGACTTCCAGCAGAAGGCGAATACAGCCTCTGGGGGCAGACCCCCAATTTTTTGGCATTCCGGTCTGATTTGGGCGGAGGAGGCGAATTTCGGTTTCCGACTTCCGTTTATACAGTACAGGCCAAAAGTTTGGACACACCTTCTCATTCAATGCGTTTTCTTTATTTTCATGACTATTTACATTGTAGATTCTCACTGAAGGCATCAAAACTATGAATGAACACATGTGGAGTTATGTACTTAACAAAAAAAGGTGAAATAACTGAAAACATGTTTTATATTCTAGTTTCTTCAAAATAGCCACCCTTTGCTCTGATTACTGCTTTGCACACTCTTGGCATTCTCTCCATGAGCTTCAAGAGGTAGTCACCTGAAATGGTTTTCCAACAGTCTTGAAGGAGTTCCCAGAGATGTTTAGCACTTGTTGGCCCCTTTGCCTTCACTCTGCGGTCCAGCTCACCCCAAACCATCTCGATTGGGTTCAGGTCCGGTGACTGTGGAGGCCAGGTCATCTGCCGCAGCACTCCATCACTCTCCTTCTTGGTCAAATAGCCCTTACACAGCCTGGAGGTGTGTTTGGGGTCATTGTCCTGTTGAAAAATAAATGATCGTCCAACTAAACGCAAACCGGATGGGATGGCATGTCGCTGCAGGATGCTGTGGTAGCCATGCTGGTTCAGTGTGCCTTCAATTTTGAATAAATCCCCAACACTGTCACCAGCAAAACACCCCCACACCATCACACCTCCTCCTCCATGCTTCACAGTGGGAACCAGGCATGTGGAATCCATCCGTTCACCTTTTCTGCGTCTCACAAAGACACGGAGGTTGGAACCAAAGATCTCAAATTTGGACTCATCAGACCAAAGCACAGATTTCCACTGGTCTAATGTCCATTCCTTGTGTTTCTTGGCCCAAACAAATCTCTTCTGCTTGTTGCCTCTCCTTAGCAGTGGTTTCCTAGCAGCTATTTGACCATGAAGGCCTGATTGGCGCAGTCTCCTCTTAACAGTTGTTCTAGAGATGGGTCTGCTGCTAGAACTCTGTGTGGCATTCATCTGGTCTCTGATCTGAGCTGCTGTTAACTTGCCATTTCTGAGGCTGGTGACTCGGATGAACTTATCCTCAGAAGCAGAGGTGACTCTTGGTCTTCCTTTCATGGGTCGGTCCTCATGTGTGCCAGTTTCGTTGTAGCGCTTGATGGTTTTTGCGACTCCACTTGGGGACACATTTAAAGTTTTTGCAATTTTCCGGACTGACTGACCTTCATTTCTTAAAGTAATGATGGCCACTCGTTTTTCTTTAGTTAGCTGATTGGTTCTTGCCATAATATGAATTTTAACAGTTGTCCAATAGGGCTGTCGGCTGTGTATTAACCTGACTTCTGCACAACACAACTGATGGTCCCAACCCCATTGATAAAGCAAGAAATTCCACTAATTAACCCTGATAAGGCACACCCGTGAAGTGGAAACCATTTCAGGTGACTACCTCTTGAAGCTCATGGAGAGAATGCCAAGAGTGTGCAAAGCAGTAATCAGAGCAAAGGGTGGCTATTTTGAAGAAACTAGAATATAAAACATGTTTTCAGTTATTTCACCTTTTTTTGTTAAGTACATAACTCCACATGTGTTCATTCATAGTTTTGATGCCTTCAGTGAGAATCTACAATGTAAATAGTCATGAAAATAAAGAAAACGCATTGAATGAGAAGGTGTGTCCAAACTTTTGGCCTGTACTGTATATAAGTAAATATGCTGAACCATTGCAATGGATTCAGAGTTTGCAGTGACGCCAGTTATGTTCCGCCTCGTTAGTTCACCGCGCGGAGTGTTTAACCTGGCAACAACTGCAGCCGGCTCAAACGTGATTGGTCAATATCACGCGGACTACATACAGCCTACAAAAACCTCAGAATTTAGAGAGGAGACACAGAATTCTAACAGACACAGAGGAAATTAAAAGAAAAAAAAAACACAAGAGTTTGCTATTTCATAACGTGATGATTAGTTTTTTGGCTTTATGCTCAGCTAAGCAACTTTCTTAGAAATGAACAGGGGCCTCCAACGCTGTAACCAGTTCTCTTTATACATCCCTGGTAGCAACTCGAATTCAACTGGCGCACACCCCAGCATCGAGGTTCACAGCGAGCTAACAAATGAGGTGGGAATTCAAATGTACACAACGGTGTGCACACTGTCACACACATATGCAAACATGTAAGGGCACAGGCACATACAAAACTAGGCTATACAAACTCCTGTTTCACATCATGTTCAAATCCCTGCAGTCCTCATTAGTCATGTAGTACCATATTAGCATGGTGCCCAAGCTAACTACATTAACACACATGCATAGTAATCTCCGGGGAAATGTCCCCAGTTGTCCTTCCTGCTTGCTCTGACACTTGCATAATTAACCAGTATAATTGCATTCAAGACCACAAGATTATTAATTCAGCATACATGTAGAGCAGGGAGAACAGGAGAGACTGGGAAGCCTCTGCTGGAAATGAAATGATCCTGTACTGAATGATCAGTAATGATCTCCCTGAGTCCTCCTTCGGTTTACTGTTCACCTAGGGATGGGTAGCCAGTGCTATGATCTCATCAGTGCCGTCCACATGAACCCCTGAATCTGTGGTGAAAGCTGATATGCACTTAATGTGCTGATGTGTTTCATGAAGAAGGTCCTGAAAGAAAAACATAGTGCAATCACCACAGAATGATGTACTCTAACTAAGGTCCTTAACTTGAGCTGATACTGCTGAGATAACTGGATCAGACTTTGGTAGCGTGACTACTGTAACTGGTGAGGGCATCATACTAATGTCCATGACTGTATCGGAGAACACTACCAACGTGTAACACTGAATATCTTGGAATTCCTTGTGGGGTCTCAGCTGGTTGCCTGG